CCAAGGTGGTGTGGTTCTTGAAAATACTGCAGGTCTCCAGTGGATCTCACTGGAGTTCATTCCATTAGACAAAATTTACACCCACAAATGTCCTCTAGATAAGTCCATCCCGCCTTGGGTTTATGTAAAACACCCCTACGCTTCTTAGAAGCCCTACTGTTCTTAAAGCCACATATGGAAACGTGTGTAGTACACCCTGAAATTCTTTCTCAGGGCTGTTTGCCTGAACAGTATTGTGAGACACCACACCTTTGTCTTTTCTGAGGTCTTAACAAACAATTTTACAGTCACACTCTTGGCTTCAAGTTTAGACCATGCTTTCCTGAGAGTGCCTTGAGTTTGATCTTTGTTCAGAAACATTCCTTAGTTTTAGTATTGTTTGTCATCTGAAGAGGCTAGGAATCTCTGAAACCAGCAAATCTTGGCTCCTCTTTATTTAATAATCCTTTCTTTAGCTTCTCTCTCTCTTCTTACATCTGACTATAAGCAGCACAAGAAAAAAATAGGCAGTACTTGAAACATTTTGGCAGATCATTCAGTTCATTAAATATGTTTTTTACCTTTCAGTTTACTGCAGTTGAGATGTTGCTAAACTTTCTGCCACCTTATAACAAAGATCACTTTCTTCTGGGTTCCAATAAGATTTTCCTCACTTTCCTTTAAGTCCTTACTGGCAGCCTCTTCAAAGTCTAAAATTCTACTACTAATTTATTCAAGGCACTTTAGGCTTTCATTAATACTCTTAAAAATTCTTACAGCTTCTAACCACTGCCCAGTGCCAAAGCCATCATCACATTTCAAGTTTTTCTTATGACAGCATACTACTTCCAGACATCAAAATCAGTATTAGCTATCTATTGCTGCATAATAAATAACCCAAAAACTTAGCAGCTTAACAAAGCAAACATTATCTCACATAGTTTCTCAGGGTCAAGAATCTGGAGCAGCCTAGCTGGGTTGTTGCGGCTTGAGGTCTCCTGTGAGGTTGCTGTCAAGACATGGGCTGGGGCTTCAAGTATCTGGAAGCTCAAATGAGACTGGCGGATTCACTTCTAAGCTCACTCACATGGTTGTCAGGAGGCCTCTGTTCCTCTCTATTGGCCAGCGAGCTTGATTCCTTACCATGTGAGCCCTGCCATAGGCTGCTGAGTGTGCAGTTGAATTCCCCAGACTGAGAAATGAGAGTAAGAGGACATGCACACCTGAGATATAAGCTGAGGTGTCTTTTATAATTTAATCTTTTCTTTTTAAATGAGGTATATTTGATATATAACATTAGATTACTTTCAGGTGTACAACGTAATGATTCAGTATTTGTATATATTGTGAAAACATCATCCCAGCCGAGTTAACATCTGTCTGTCACCCTATATAGTTACAAAAACGTTTTTTTCTTGTGATGAGAACTTTTAAGATCTATGCTCTTAGCAACTTTCAAATATGCAATACAGTATTATCAACTATAGTCACCATGCTGTATATTACATGACTTATTTTATAACTGCAAGTTTGCACCTTTTGACCCCATTTATCGTAAAACCTAATCCTGAAAATGATATACCATGACTTCTGCTATCTAGATACAATACCGAGACCTTGATACAATGTGGAAGGGGACTACCCAAGAATGTGGATATGAGGTGGTAGAGATCACTGAAGGTCATCTTGGAGGCTACTATTTTAACTTATATGCCAATATTGTTATATACTTTAATTTTATATATATTTTCACCCCATAAGAAATTATTACTATTTTAAACAGTCCACCTTAAAACTTATTCACAACATTTACTTTTGTCAGTCTACCTTTTTTCCCGTCTCCAAGCTTCCATATGGAGTACTTTTTCTTCCATTCTGAAGATTATTTCGTACTTCCTGTAGTGTAGGTCTGCTGGTAACAAATTCTATCAATTTGTTTATCTGAAAATGACTTTTCTCGCTAACATTTGTGAAGGATCCTTTCCTGGGTCACAGAATTCTAGGTTGGCAGTTATCTTCTTTCAGCATGTTGAAGACAGTCCATTATTTTTTGGCTTTCATTTCTCTTGAGCAAGTATTTCTCTGACTTATCCTTACTTGAAGGTAATATATCTTTTTTTTCTGGCTACTGTTAGGAACATCTTTTTGCCTTTGCTTTTCAATACTTTTATTGGGTATGGTCTTGTTTGTATTTTTTCAGCTTGGGATTCACAGCATTTCTTGACTCTGTAGCTTATCTTTCACTAGTTTTGTAAAATCCTCAGCTATTACTTTCAGTATTACTTCTACCCCATTCTGTCTTTCCTCTCCTTCTAAGAGTCCACTTATATGTAGGCTAAACTTATTCACTGTATTCCATGTGTCCCTTTGCTTCTTTCTGTATTTTCCATTCATTAATCTCTCTAAGTTTTAGCCTGTGTATTTTCTACCCATGTTATCATTTAGTTTACAACTTCTCTCTTTGGTTTCTGTTTAGTCTAGTATTTTACCCAAACATTAAGTCTTGAATTAATTTTTTCATATTATTGTTCAGTTTTAGTATTTGGTTCTTAATAGTTTTGTCCTTTTCAACTTTGTCTTTTATTTTTTTGAACATAATAAGCACAGTATTTTAAAGTTTCTGTTTGATAACTCCATTATCTGGATTCCTAATGGGTTTATTTCTACTGTCTACTGATTCTCTTGGATTTTGGTTCCACTGTATTTCCTGCTCATTTGCCTGTTTTTCTGTTTTTAATTGAATGCCTGACACTATAAGTGAAACATTTTACACATATTTGAGGCCCAGGAGGATAGTTAACTTCGTTTCTGTCTTACAGCTAGAGGTATTACCAATTTCAGATTCTTTAATGCAATCAGAGATCAGTAAAATTCAAAGTTGGGCTTCAAATCTAAAAGACCAGTTTATTCTTTTTTTTTTTTTTTTTTTTTTTTTTTTTTAAAGATTTTATTTATTCAGTTTTTCCCCCCAAAGCCCCAGTAGATAGTTGTATGTCATAGGTTCACATCCTTCTAGTTGCTGTACGTGGGACTCGGCCTCGCGTTGGACGGAGAAGTGGTGCCTCGGGGCGCTCCCGGGATCCGAACCCGGGCCGCCAACATCAGAGCGCGCGCACTTAACCGCTAAGCCACGGAGCCGGCCCATGGACCAGTTTATTCTTTAAGTGAAATCCACTGGCATCAAGGTCATGTGGGGGATAGTAAAAATGGAAATTCCAGAATTACTGATTTAATTTTGGAGGAAGATACATTTGATAAAGACTCTAGATAATTTTATGCACACTAAAGTTTGAAAATTATTTTATAGGTTGAGTAAATGTCAATTACCTTATTAAAAATAAACTTAGCAGAATTTTTACATTTTTCTTTCTACCTCTGTGAAGTTTTCATGATTCTTTTTTCTTTTTTTACTTTTATTTCCTTATCAGACACAGATTTCAAGAAATGCCAACAAGATCTCTTCCAAAAAGTAATGTCAATAAAGTTGCTGGTTGATCTGTTTACCATATTAAAGACTTGTACTGTATAACATACTACATTTATTTTAAAAAAATCTATCATTAAGGGGGCCGGCCCGGTGGTGCAAGCGGTTAAGTGCGCGCGCTCCGCTGCGGTGGCCCGGGGTTCGCTGGTTCGGATCCCGGGCGCGCACCCACGCACTGCTTGGCAGGCCATGCTGTGGCGGCGCCCCATATAAAGTGGAGGAAGATGGGCACAGATGTTAGCCCAGGGCCGTCTTCCTCAGCAAAAAAAAAAAAAAAAGAGGAGGATTGGCGGATGTAGCAAAGGCCTGATCCCCCCCCCAAAAAAAAAAAAAAAAAAAAAAAAATCTATCATTAAGGTTAAAGTAGTACAGTTTAACACATTTGAAGATATTCCAGACACAGATTTTCCTTTATACCACAAACGAAGTTCTTCTTCTAGACAGTTTTATAGCTAGTCTATTCTTTAAATGGTCAAAACACTCCATTCTCCAGCAACTATAGACAAAACGATAGGCCATTTTATATATATAAGGCTAGCATTCTTAAAAGAGAGGAATTCTAAATTTGAAATGACTACAAGAAAAGAATGAGTAAAATTAAGGAACTAAACTAAACTAAATAAAAGGTACACTCACATTCTATTTAGAAAACAAGATTTAATTCTATACCTAAACCAGAGATATACAAGTCCAAACTGTTAATATAACAACTTTGTAGTATCACTTGCAAATAAATCCAAATACGGTTTGGTCTAGCAGAGGTTTACACCCTTGTGTTACATAATTCAACTTTTTAATTGATTCTACGAGGGAAAAAACCAGATACATAATTATGCTCAGAGATTCTGGTTCCCCTCTCAATCCTTCTCCCTGCGCTCCTCCCCATCCGAATACACGATCAAATACGTGTGTAAGACTGGCAGGTCTACTTTAAGCATTTGGTCTTCTTCTATTATGGCAACACCCTCACTTTCATAAATGACTTTTTAGTTCCAAAAATTAAAGAAAATGGGTCATTTCTAATGTTTCTACACTATAACTGTAAAACTTTAAAATAAGGGATAAGAAAAATATCTGCATTTTCCATTTTAAAAAAAATTTTATGCTGCAAAATATTTCTACTTTTAGTTTCTTCGTTATTTTCTGTTTTATCAAAAAAGCAGTGCAGCACAGTGGGTAAAAAACAGAGTCAGGCTGCGAGAGCCTGTAAACTGACGTGACTTTCTAAAGACCCCGAACCTCTCTACCTCTGTCTTCACTTCCTCATCTATAAAACGGGGATAATAATACTTATCTCAGAGAGTTTTCTGTGAGGATTAAATTAGTTAATAATGCATCATGTGCTTATAACAGTGGCTAGCATACAGTAAACCCTCTATGTGTGTGAGCTGTTATTATTATTATTGTACAGTGTACAGTAACATTTTGATGGTCTTTTTCTCCAAGATAATTGACAAGGCTTCACAAATCACTGAATTAACAATAAAATGTGAACTGTTCAAAAAAATATTTTTATTCTGTTATTCTTAATACGTACCTTTCGTGCTATTGGTTCCTGACCTTCCATCAACGTGTACCAGCTGACAAGTTTATTCCAGCCCTCAGTTGGCAATAGTATGTAATCCAATTCATCAATAAGATGCTCCTTAAGTGACTGGGCATCACCATCTGCAAAAGGAAAAATAAACTCAATACGTAAAAAGAAACAACAGTACATATCTCTAAATACTTTGGTTGTATACATTACAAATTACTCAAACTCATAAAGACTAATTTAAGTATTTAAATAATGAGTTTTCAGGGCCGGCTCCGTGGCTTGGCGGTTGGGTGCGCGCGCTCTGATGCTGGCAGCCCGGGTTCGGGTCCCGGGCGCGCCCCGAGGCACCACTTCTCCGTCCAACGCGAGGCCGAGTCCCACGTACAGCAACTAGAAGGATGTGAACCTATGACATACAGCTGTCTACTGGGGCTTTGGGGGGAAAAAATGAATAAATAAAATCTTTAAAAAAAAAATAAATAAATAAATAAATAAATAATGAGTTTTGAAAAAAGCTCTGAAGAGGTGCACATCTAAATCTATGTATTCTAAAACAGACTGTTGCTTTAAAAAGTTTCGATGTGTACCACTAGTGTTTAAAAAGTTAATTTTTCTTTTATGAGGCTCTTAGAAAAACACTAAGGTGTAACTGTTAGCCAAGCGACCTGAAAGAGTGTTTCCCAAATATTCTGAGTATCAGAGCTCTCTCACATGGTAACAGTCTGGGTCATTCTAGCATTAGCTGATGAAGGAAATTCAGAAGCAAATCAATAACCTTTTACAAAAATGACTCCAAAGCACATGGGCTGGGAACCATGATGGAAATCACAAAAGGGCATCCTGTGAACTCCAGAAGGCCCATCACCTACACTCCTCATGAGATCTAAAGTGGAGGTAGTTGTTCAGATGTGGTTCTAATTCTATGATCTATTTTCAAAACTCTGGTTAAACTAAAACTTTAGTGCACAGCAGGCCAGAGTTCTAGAAGCAATACTTTGAGTTATACCTACTTCACAGCCCTAATCTGACACTCATTTATTATTATCTGGTCTATTACTTGAATTTCCAAAGAATAGACACATAAACAGAAATAGTTCATTGAGTCATATACAACATAAAGGGGATTTTCTCATTCTGAGCTAGTCTAAATTAACAAACATTGAAAGCGAAATTGTTCTTGGTAGCATTTCAATGAGAACATACTATTCTAAACTAGATATAACAATATAAATCAAAAGCAGGAAAAGTGCTGAAAGCATTAAGAGAAAGTTATTTATTCTATCTAGGATCAATCTATGGTCACAGAATCACACTAAAGTTTGAGAAAACTATGTTTGATATAGAGTAGAAATGTGGAAACTGAATTTTACAATACAAACTTCAACAGAAGATGCAAACTATTAATTTTAAGCTCAGTTTTTTAAAAATCTTAGTTGTAACTTTTAAATTCTTCATGAAAACTGATAATTTGAAACATATTTTCAGAACCCTTTGAAGGTGAAAGATATTTACACATTCTAAACCCCTATATGCATCATGTACCATGAGACATATTACAGCAAATAATCATGTTATCTCAGTCAATTCTCAAAACAATCCTATAAGATAGGTGCCCCCCCCCACTTTAGATTAGAAAATATATTCAGGAATACTGAGTAACTTGCCCAAGAGATCAAAAATACAGAAAACTGCAGGTATTGTGAAAGGTGTTACTACAGAAAACCCTGTTATCTCAGTTCATTTTCAAAACAATATTATGAAATGGATATCTCCATTTTAATTAGTAAACAGATTCAGGTATTGACTAACTTGCCCAAGGTCACATATACAGAAAATTGTAGAAACTGGATTCAAACACAAATCTGTTTACTCTAACATCCATTTTCTTTCTACTCTAACAGATTGCCTTGAAGAAAACTTAAGAAAAGAAGTTTAAAAATTAAGACTTCTGTGCTATTTTCTGCAATAATTCAAGAGTTTGGGTAAATGATTTTATTATGTACCAGAATCTAAATAGTAATTTATATCTAGTGGACAAGATAAAACGATTAATTCATTTTTTAAGGGAGGAGAACACCCCTAAACACAGAACAGCTGATATTTGTTACTTCTGTGTTTATTGATAAATAATTGATATAGAATAAACCACATGTATTTAAAGTGTAAAATTTGATAAGTTCTGACATACCAATACAAGTGTGAAACCATCAACACTACCAAAATGATGAATATTCCATCACCCCCAAAGGTTTCCTTGTAGCCCTTGGCAATCCCTCCTTCCTGTCCATCCAGGTCCACCATTTTGTCCTCAGAAAACCATTTATCTGTATTTGCAACTACAGACATTAATATGTATTTTTTAGAATTTTATATGAAAATTATGTTTGCTTTCTGTTAGTATAGACAAATTTGCATTTTCTAAAATTGTCACTGACGAGGTGCCTCAAGAAACTCAAGGGTGGGTTTGGATTAACTGTTTTTCGAAGTTGTATGGAAAAGTATGTTAAGGAGATGTAACCACCAGCCATCCTGAAACTGACCAAGTCTCAACACAAGAGCTATGACCATGACCTTTGTCTTATTTTATTTTATTATTTTTTTTGTGAGGAAGATCAGCCCTGAGCTAACATCCACGCTAACCCTCCTCTTTTTGCTGAGGAAGACCAACTCTGAGCTAACATCTATTGCCAATCTTCCTCCTTTTTTTCCCTTTTTCTCCCCAAAGTCCCAGTGGATAGTTGTATGTCATAGTTGCACATCCTTCTAGTTGCTGTATGTTGGACGCCGCCTCAGCATGGCTGGAGAAGCGGTGCGTCGGTGCGCGCCAACCCGGGCTGCCAGTAGCAGAGCGTGCGCACCCAACCTCTAAGCCACGGGCCGGCCCGGACCTTTGCCTTATTTTTAATGCGAAGATCTCTCCAGGAGGAGCTTAGGCCTCATTATGTGGAAGCATGTTCTCCAACCGAGCCTGTGCAAGCAAATACCCGCCTCTCCCTTTTGAATATTCATTCCCCAACCGAAATAAAAGTTCCTGCTTCCCTTTGTCTGGCGATGCCATGACTTTGGAAATGATTCCTCATGGCCTCCTATTTGCTGCAAATACACTTTACTTTGTGAGACAACTTCCACTGGTGTAGAGTCTTATTTAACTCACCAGGAGGCGAGCCCACTTGGTTCAGTAACAGAATCTTATATAAAAACAGTATGTACTGTTTTTGTTTCATTTACGCTGCAAAATTATCGAGATCCATTCATGTTTTTACATATCAATGTAAACGGATATACTATAATTTGTTTACCCATTCAGCTGCTGATGGGCACTTTGGGTTGTTTTCAATTTTCTCTATTACAAATAACACTGCTATGAACATTCATGTACAAGTTTTCATATAGATATACGCTTTCATTTCTCTTGGGTAAATACCTAGGAGTGGAATGGTAAATGTATGCTTAGTTCCTATAGTAAATGTATGCTTAGTTTTTTAAGAAACTGCCAGACTATTTCATTCCCAGAAACAGTGCATAAAAGTTCCACTTGTTCCACAACCTTGTCAATACATGGTATGGGTCAGTGTTTTAAATGTGAATCATTTTAATATACAGTGGTACCTCATTGTGGTTTTAATCTTCATTTCTCTAAAGACTAATCATGCTGAGTATATCCGCAAGTGCTTTTTGAAAACTCTTTCTTTGGTGAAGTATCTGTTCAAATCTTTTGCCCACTTTTTCCAACTGTTTATGTTTTCTTAATATAGAGTTTCAAAAATTCTTTATTCTGCCTACAAGTGTTTTATCAGCTAGGTGATTTGTTTTTCTCCCACACTGGCTTGTCTTTTCCTTCTCTTAACACTGTCATTTGAAGAGGCTTTTAGAGTCAGCCCTGATGGCCTAATGGTTCAAGTTCAGTGTTCTCCGCTTCAGCTGCCTGGGTTCATTTCCCGGTCTCGGAACCACATCAATCGTCTGTCAGTAGCCATGCTGTCGTGGCAGCTCACACAGAGGAACTAGAAGGACTTACAACTAAAATATGCAACTATGTACTGGGGCTTTGGGGAGGGAAGGAAAAAAAAAAAAAAGAGAGAGGAAGATTGGCAACAGATGTTAGCTCAGGGCGAAGTTTTCCCAGCAAAAAAAGAATAAAAAAATAAAAAACAGAAAAACTGAAGAGGCTTTTATTACTGATGAAATACAATTCATCCATTTTTTTCTTTTATCAATCATGCTTTTGCATCATATTTAAGAAATCTTTGCCTAACAAAATGTCACAAAATTTTTCTTTTTTTTTCTATAAGTTTTATAGTTTTGGTTTTTACATTTAGGTCTATGATCTGCTTTGAGTTAATTTTGTATATAGTGCCAGGTATGGATAAAAGTTCAGGCTTTTTGCAAACAGATACCTAATGCTCAAGTAGCATTTGTTTAAAAGACACTGAATACCTGTTACATCTTTGTCTAAAATCAATTGACCATATATGTAGGGATCTACTTCTGGATTCCCTAATCTGTTCAATTGATTCTTACCGCACACACAATATATAAATATTAACTTAAAATTGATCAGACACAAATGTAACAGATAAAGCTATAAAACTCTTAGAAGAAAACATAGGTGTAAATCTTTTATGACCTTGGATCAGGCAATGCTTTCTGACACCAAAATCACAAGCAACCAAAGGGAAAAAACAGATAAACTTTTGTGCTTCAAAGGCACCACCAAGGAAGTAAAAGACAATCCACAGAATAGGTGACAATTATTGTAAATCATATATATGATAAGGGGCTAGTATCCAGACTATATAAACAACTCTTATAACAATAAAAAGACATAATCCAATTTAAAAATGGGCACAGGATCTGAATAGACATTTCTTCAAAAAAGATATATAAACAGCACCAATAAGATACTTAACATCACTAATCACTAGGGAAATACAAATCAAAATCACAATGAGATACCACTTCAAACCCATCAGGATGGTTATAATAAAAGGACAGACAATAACAAGTGTTGACAAGGATGTGGAGAAATTGGAACCCTCATATATTGCTGGTGAGAATGTAAAACGGTCTAACTATTTTGGAAAACAGTCTAACAGTTTCTCAAATAGTTAAATACAGAGTTACTATATGA